GAACATCCTCTAGAGATATTAGTGGAATGGAAAGTGTTGTTGTCACCATATGACTGTGTCATCTGTTTTCCTCACAAACACAGAAAAGAACTATTTATTAAAAACAGCTGCCTTTTTCTGCATTAAAATTGATTATTCTACTGTTTCCATCTAGTCATGGATCCATGCCAGTGTCAGGATTCTTTTTGTTCCTGATATATATGAAATACTCCTTTTTGTCCTTAATTCTATTGGCTCCTTGTGCGTCTCTTAGCTTCCCTCATCAGTTTTCTACAATTCATAACTTCTGGTTTATATTCATTACTATCAACTTTCCCTTCGCGTGTGTGTGTGTAATATATATAAATAAATAGCTCCCTTCACATCCCCACTCAACCTTTGTCAAGGGGGAGATTGTGGCTTTTAGGACATCTAGTACGTGGTCCTTAAATGGTTCCCAATTCTAGTCACATTTTTGTGGTTAAATTCTTCCTCCCAGCTGCCTGGGCTCATCAGCTCTTTCAGCATTGGGAAACTGGCCCTGTCAAAGCACCAGGTGTAGCTGTCACTAGGCTGGCTGCAAATCACATGGACCGCCGCTCCCATTAACTTTTAGTGCTGTGAGGTTTGGACAAGGCCTAAAACATAAGAACGGCCCTACTGGGTCAGCCCAAATGACCATCTAACCCAGTGTCCTGTCTTCCGACAGTGACCAGTGCCAGGTGCCCCAGAGGGAATGAACAGAACAGGGAATCACCAAGTGATCCATCCCGTCACCCATTCCCAGCTCCTGGCAAACAGAGGCTCGGGCAACCATCCTTGCCCATCCTGGCTAATATGAATTTATTTAGGTCTTTTTTGAACCCTGTTATGGTCTTGGCCTTCACAATATCCTCTGGCAAGGAGTTCCACAGGCTGACTGTGAGTTAGGTGAAAAAATACTTCCTTTTGTTTGTTTTAAACCTGCTGCCTGTTAATGTCATTTGGTGACCCCTAGTTCTTGTGCTACGAGAAGGAGTAAATAATGCTTCCTTATTCACTTTCTCCACCCCACTCATGATTTTATAGACCTCTATCACATCCCCCCTTAGTCGTCTCTCTTCCAAACTGAAAAGTCCCTGTCTTGTTAATCTCTTCTTTTATTGCTCTTTTCTGAAACTTTTCCAATTCCAATATAACATTTTTGAGATGGGGCGACCACATCTGCATGCACTATTCAAGTTGTGGGTGTGCCATGGATTTCTATTGAGGCAGTACGATATTTTCTGTCTTATTCTTGATCCCTTTCTTAATGATTCCCAACACTCTGGTCGCTTTTTTGACGGCCACTGCACATTGAGTGGATGTTTTCAGAGAACTCTCCACAATGACTCCAAGATCTCCTCCTCCTTGAGTGGTAACAGCTAATTTAGCCCCCATCATTGTATGTGTGTAGTGGGGGTTATGTTTTCCAATGTGCATTACTTTGCACTTATCAACATTGAATTCCATCTGCCATTTTGCTGCCCAGTCACCCAGTTTTGTGAGATCCCTTTGTAGCTCTTCGTGGTCTGTCTAGGACTTAACTATCTCGAGTGCTTTTGTATCCTCTGCAAATTTTGCCACCTCCCTGGGGGATACCACTATTTACCTCTTTTTTCCAGATCATTTCTGAATATATTGAAAAGGACTGGTGCCCATACAGACCCCTGGGGGATACCACTATTTACCTCTCCCCATACTGAAAACTGATCATTTTACTCTTTGTTTCCTATCTTTTAACCCGTTATCAATCCATGAGAGAACCTTCCCTCTTATCCCGTGGCAGCTGACTTTGCGTAAGAGCCCTTGGTGCGGGACCTTGTCCAAGGCTTTCTGAAAATCTAAGTACACTGTATCCACTGGCTTCCCCTTGTCCACATGCTTGTTGACCCCCCTCAAAGAATTTGAGTAGATTGGTGAGCCAGGATTTCCCTTTACTAAAACCATGTTGACGCTTCCCCAACAAATTATGTTCATCTCTGTGTCTGACAATTTTGTTCTTTACTATAGTTTCAGGCTTACCCGCCTGTAATTGCTGGGATCGCCTCTGGAGCCCTTTTTAAAATTGGTGTCACGTTAGCTGCCCTCCGGTCATTGGGTACAGAAGCTGATTTAAATGCTAGGTTACAAACCACAGTTAGCAGTCCTGCAATTTCACATTTGAGTCCTTCAGAACTCTTGGGGATCCCATCTGGTTCTGGTGGCTTATTGCTGTTTTAATTTATCAATTTGTTCCCAAACCTCTAATGACACCTCAGTCTGGGACAGTTCCTCAGACCTGTCACCTAATGAGACCGGCTCAGGTTAGGGAATCTCCCTCACGTCCTCAGCCATGAAGACGGATGCAAAGATTTCATTTAGTTTCTCCACGAAGACCTTATCGTCCTTGAGTGCTCCTTTAGCATCTCGATCATCTAGTGGCCCCACTGGTTGTTTAGCAGCTTCCCACTTCTGATGTACTTAAAAAAAATTTGGTTTTATTTTTTGAGTCTTTGGCTGGCTGTTCCTCAAATTCTACTTTGGCCTCCTAATTGTATTTTTACACTTCATTTGCCAGAGTTTAGGCTCTTTCTATTTTCCTCACTAGGATTTAAATTCCACTTTTTAAAGATGCCTTTTTGCCTCACTGCGCTTTTACTTTGAGCGAGGGTGGCTCTTTTTTGGTTCTCTTGCGATTGTTTTTTTTTTAATTTGGGGTGTACATTTAAGTTGAGCCTCTATTATGGTGTCTTTAAAAAGTTTCCAGGAAGCTTGCAGGGATTTCACTTTTGGTGCTATACTGCTTAATTTCTGTTTCACTGACCTCCTTGTTTTTGGGTGGTTCCCCTTTCTGAAATTAAATACTACAGAGTTGGGCTGCAGTGGTCGTTTCCCCTCGCAGGGATGTTACACTTAATTATATTCTGGTCACTATTACTAAGCAGTCCAGTTATATTCACCTCTTGGTCCAGATCCTGTGCTCCACTTAAAGACTAAATCAAGAATTGCCTCTCTGGACTAGCTGTTCCAAGAAGCCGTCATTTAAGGTGTCAAGAATCTTTATCTCTCCATCCTGTTCTGGGGGCACATGTGCCCCGTCAATATGCAGATAGTTGAAATCCCCCATTATTATTGAGTGTCTTGTTTTTATTGTCTCTATAATCTCCCTGAGCGTTTCACAGTTACTGTCACCATCCTGGTCAGGTGGTCGGTAATGAATAATAAGAATATAGCAGGTTTCAGAGGAACAGCCGTGTTAGTCTGTATTCGCAAAAAGAAAAGGAGGACTTGTGGCACCTTAGAGACTAACCAATTTATTTGAGCATGAGCTTTCGTGAGCTACAGTGATGAAGTGAGCTACACTGATGAAGTGAGCTGTAGCTCACGAAAGCTCATGCTCAAATAAATTGGTTAGTCTCTAAGAATATAGCAGTAGGGATTTGAGCATGGAATTACTATGGAGAGATTCTATAGTACAACTTGATCCATTTATAATTTTTACTTCACTTGATTCTATGCTTTCTTTCACATATAGTACCACTCCCTCACCAGCACGACCTGTTCTGTCATTCTGATGATATATTTTTGTACCCTGGTACATTAATTATCCTCATTCCACCAAGTTTCTGATGCCTAGTATATCAATATCCTCAATGAATACGAGGCACTCTAGTTCACCTATCTTATTATTTAGACTTCTAGCATTGGTATATAAGCACTTCAAAAACTTGTCACTTTTTAGCTCTCTCCCATTACATGATGTAATTGAATGGGACTCTCTCATTTGATTAAAGAACAGGAGGACGTGTGGCACCTTAGAGACTAACCAATTTATTTGAGCATAAGCTTTTGTGAGCTACAGCTCACTTCATGGGATGCAGCTCACTAAAGCTTATGCTCCAATAAATTGGTTAGTCTCTAAGGTGCCACACGTCCTCCTGTTCTTTTTGTGGATCCAGACTAACACGGCTGCTACTCTGAAACCTGTCATTTTGATTGTTTCTCATCAGATCTTACCCTTATTTTATCCTCTTCCATCCTCTTCCCCCTTATTAGAACATAGAGAATCTCCATTAATAATCCTCCCCTCGGGGCTGGCTCTAGCTAGAACACGTGCTCCCCTCCACCTCCTGGCTTCCCCCCCAGCCCTTAACATTAAAAAGGTTGCAGAGTGGTTTTTAAACTAAGTGCTGGTACTCTGGTTCAGGTCTAGCCCGTCCTTCCTGGGCAGGCTGCCCTTTCCCCAAAGTTTCCCCAGTTCTTAATAAATCTAAACGCCTCCTCCCTACCCTGTCATCTCAGCCACGCAGTGGGACCCTGCAGTTCTCCTTCACAAACTGGTCCTGCCTGTGGAACTGGGAGCAGCTAGAGATCCTGGGGGGGGGGGGTGTTTGGGGTGTGGGGGACTCATAGCCAGGCTACTGCTCTGTTAGTACCTGACCCCCAGCCCTGTTGGTGCCCCTTACTCCTGACTTGCAGCCCCTGGGGTGTTCCAACCCCAGCTCTGCGATCTTGGCTCCAGGCTGGGGGGTGGCCATGGGGTGGCAAGAGCTGGGTGCAGGGGTGAGATACTGCTGGGGCGGGGGGGGGAGATGTTAATTCCCCCTTACCCCAGTCCTTCTGCAGGGAACCAGGCTGGAACTTAAATCACGCAGCCTCTGTTGCATGGGGGGGCAGAATGAGCACTGGAATGCCGGCGCCATCTTGGTAGAGGCCTGGAAAGCCTGTTGCGTGGGCGCCATATTGGATGTGTCGGATGAGTACTCAGTGCAGTCGGGAGAAGGACGCCATATTTATTGTGTCGGAAATAATGGAGGGCGCCCCCTGTGCGCCATCTTGGGTGTGGCCCTGCCACAATGGCCGCTACTGATGCGCCATCTTGGGTGTGGCATGTGCTAGATTTGCTCCCCCCGCATTATGTCATAGAGAGGAGTGTGACGTTATAATTTACCCTCGCCAGGCACGGGGAGGGGGGGAAAGGGGGTGGGGCCAGTGGGAGCTGGAGACCGCCCCCAGCTGCTGTCGCTGCGAGCGCCCCCTAGAGGGGCCGCAGAGGTGAGCTGCAGCCCCATACGCAGGGCGGGGGAGTGAGCTCCCCTTCCTCTAAAATAGCGGCTACAGAGACCCCCCCACCCCAAAGGGGCTGGTCCCTCCCAAGGGATAGAACTGTCCCCAATAGGGGGCGGGGCATGGAACTAGGGGGCGGAGCTTGGACCTCGGGAGGCGGGACTATGGGAAAGCCTGGAGCTGCGGGAGAGGTTCAGAGCTGGGAGGGGGTCTCAAGATAGCTGGGAAATTTCCTACTGCTACAACCCCACCCCACGTCGGCTGTGTCACCCCCACCACTATCACAATGGGGTGGGGGGGCAGAGGCACCTGGGGCTGCAGGACCAGCAGGTCTGGGGTGGGGGGGGCTTACACCCAAAAAGCCCAGCACTCTCCAGGCTGCAAACAGAACCCAGGAGTCCAGGCTCCCAGCCCCCTCTGCTCTAGCCCACTAGACCCCACTCCCTTCCCAGAGCCATGGAGAGAACCCAGGCGTCCGGGCTCCCTGCCCCTATATTCTAGGCTGGTGGGAAGATGCATGAGGAGTTCGTCCTGCCGTATTACACGGCGGATTGCGACCAGGCGCGAGGGCTGATGAACACGGCCATGGGGCCACTGCAGCGCCAGCTCCGGGCGGGCGAGTACGAGATCTTCCAGTACGCCCCCATATTCGAGAGCGACTTCATACAGGTACGGGGCGGGGGCTCAGAACTGGGGGCGGGGCTATAGGGGAAGGGCAGAGCTGGGGGTGGGGGCTCAGCTGGGGGCGGGGCTATAGGGGAAGGGCAGAGCTGGGGGTGGGGGCTCAGCTGGGGGCGGGGCTATAGGGGGAGGGCAGAGCTGGGGGCGGGGCTATAGGGGGAGGGCAGAGCTGGGGGCGGGGCTATGGGGGAAGGGCAGAGCTGGGGGCGGGGCTATAGGGGGAGGGCAGAGCTGGGGTGGGGGGCTCAGCTGGGGGCGGGGCTATAGGGGGAGGGCAGAGCTGGGGGCGGGGGCTCAGCTGGGGGCGGGGCTATAGGGGAAGGGCAGAGCTGGGGGCGGGGCTATAGGGGAAGGGCAGAGCTGGGGGCGGGAGCTCAGCTGGGGGCGGGGCTATAGGGGAAGGGCAGAGCTGGGGCGGGGGCTCAGCTGGGGGCGGGGCTATAGGGGAAGGGCAGAGCTGGGGGCGGGGCTATGGGGGAAGGGCAGAGCTGGGGGCGGGGCTATAGGGGAAGGGCAGTGTTGGGGGCGGGGGCTCAGAACTGGGGGCAGGACTATAGGGGAAGGGCAGAGCTGGGGGCGGGGACTCAGCTGGGGGCGGGGCTATAGGGGGCAGGGACACCGCTGGGGGCGGGGCTATAGGGGAAGGGCAGAGCTGGGGGCGGGGCTATAGGGGTGGGGGCTCAGCTGGGGGCGGGGCTATAGGGGAAGGGCAGAGCTGGGGGCGGGCCTATGGGGCAGCAAACAGCTGGGGCTAAGCAGCTGAGGGGGGATGCACTAACCTGCCCCTCTACGCCCCACCCACAGATCAGCAAGCGCGGGGAGGTGGTGGACGTGCACAATCGTGTCCGAGTGGTCACGGTGGGCGTGGCCTGCACCAGCCCAGCCCTCCTGGTGCCCAACGTGCTGCTGCTGGCCCGGCCCGTGGTCCCCTCCGAGGAGAGCCGGGGCCGCCGGGGTCCCCCTGCCAAGGCACTAGAGCTTACCAGGTGAGACCCCCCCCCCCATAAATGGTGCTCCTCACTCCTGACCCGCAGCCCCTGCTAGCCCGGCCCTGGGCCCCTCCCCAGCTCTGCCGGTGCCCCTCACTCCTGACCCCCCCCTCTAGCCCCTGGCCCCTCCCCACTCTGCGGTCCCCTCACTCCCGACCCGCGCCCCTGCTACCCGGCCCTGGGCCCCCCCCCCCTCTGCCGTGCCCCTCACTCCTGACCCGCAGCCCCTGCTAGCCCGGCCCTGGGCCCCCCCCCCAGCTCTGCCGGTGCCCCTCACTCCTGACCCGCAGCCCCTGCTAGCCCGGCCCTGGGCCCCTCCCCAGCTCTGCCGGTGCCCCTCACTCCTGACCCGCAGCCCCTGCTAGCCCGGCCCTGGGCCCCTCTCCAGCTCTGCCGGTGCCCCTCACTCCTGACCCGCAGCCCCCTCCTGTCCCTGCAGGCTGCTCCCGCTGCGGTTTGTGAAGATCTCAGTGCACGACAGCGACATGCGGCAGCTGCGGCTCAAGCTGGCCAGCGGCCGCTCGTTCTACCTGCAGCTCTGCCCCCAGGGCGACACCCACTGCGAGCTCTTCGACATGTGGGTGCAGATCGTCAACCTCCTCCGGCCGCCCGCCGAGGGGAGCTACGGGGGCCAGGCTCTGCCCGGAGACCCCGGGGCTTTCGGGGAACCCCTGTTTCGAGGCATCAGCCAGGACACCACCGGGGTGAGCTCTGCCCCCAGGGCTGGGCTAGGGGTCTAGTGGTTAGAGCAGGTCGGCTGGGAGCCAGGACTTCTGAGTTCCCTGGCTCGGGGAGGCGGGGCTGGGAGCCAGGACTCCTGGGTTCCCTAGCTCTAACCCATCCCGTTGTCCTCCCCAGAGCCTGGAGTCACTGGCCGCCGAGGAAGAGGGCCTGGATGCCTTGAGCGTCCGCAGTCTCCGGACCGCCAGCCCCTCCAGGGATGACCCAGAGAGCTTGCGCAGCCGGACCCCCCCCAGCCTCAGCCCCTCGCTGCCCCGCAAGCCGCCCAGCGTGGGGAGGGGGTCGCAGCGGGGCGGGTCCACAGGGGAGCGCAGGAGCCAGGCTGAGTCGCCAGGGGGGTCACCGGCCCCCCAGGAGAGGAACCAGGGCAGCCTGCAGGGCAGCCAGGGGAGCAGCCCCTTGAGCAAGAAGAAAGAGTCCAGCAGGTGAGGGGGTGGGGGGAGGGCCGAGGAAATTGGGATCCGGCGGGTTGGGGGCAATGGGAAGTGCCGGGGGTATGGAGCTGTGAGGGTTGGAGGAGGTTGGGGGGGGAGGGATGGGGGGGAAGATGGGAAGGTCAGGGGGAAGGGAGGCATGGGGGGGGGAGATGGAGGGCCTGGGAGATCAGGGGAAGGTGGGGGGAGGCGTGGGGGGGATCTCAGGGTCTCATTGTTTCATCGTTTCATTTCCAGGCGGGCAGATCGAGGAGGGGGAACCACACGGAGCAAATCATCGCAGACCCGGAGTAGGAACCCGGAGTAGTCCCCCAGCTGCTCTCCCTGCGTGACAGCCCCCTAGCCCAGCCCTCCCCCACTGCATCCCCCAGCTAGCCCCTGCGGCCCGACCCCCGTGCAGTCCGTCTGCCCATCCCTCTGCCACCCAGGCTTGCCAACTTTCTAATGGCAGAAAACCAAACAACCTTGCTCCGCCTCCTGCCCCGCCCCTTCTCTGAAGTCCCGCCCCCATTCACTCAGGCCCTGCAGGACTGGGGCCCGCGGTTGGGGTGCTGGAGGGGGCGTGTGAGGGCTCCAGGTGGGGGTGCGGGCTCTGGGGTGGGGTTGGGGTGAGGGTGGGGGGGTGCGAGCTCCGGGAAGGACCCGGTGGCCACTTCCGGGAGCCGTGCGGAGCCTGGCAGGCAGGGAGCCGGACTTCACCCCCCGCGCCACCGACCGGACTTGTCACAGCCCGGTCCGCGGTGCCGGCGGGAGCCGCCAGCGTCCCTCTGCGAAGGGGCGGTCTGGGGTCCGGGTGGGGACACGCCCGGCCCCCCAGGCAGGCTGACGCCCGGCCCCCTTCTCTGCCCCGGCTGCAGGCAGGAAGCCCAGCCGGATCCTGTCGCTGGTGAAGTCTCTGTCCCGCGCCAGCCTGAGCCGGGGCGACAGCCGGAGCCGCCCCCCCAAGGACAAGAAGAAGAAGCGCTGAGGGGAGGAGCCAGCAGAGAAGGGGGAGGGGCATGATGGAGAAAGGGGCGGAGCCTCCTGGGGCAATTGGGGAGGAACCTGCCTGAGAGCCCAATAAAGTCTCAGTTACCAGCAAGGGGCGTGGTCCTGAGGGGGCGGGGCTACCCCATGGGGCGTGGCCATATGGGGGCGGGGCTCGGAGCGTTTCTAGTCCGCTCCCGCTTCCCAGACCATCACTTCCGGGGCGGGGCGGAAGTGGTGCGGGTCGGGGCGGAAGTGACGGAGGCGGCGCTCCGGCGCGGCGGGCTCGGGGGATGCGGCTGCTGAGCTGGAACGTGGCCGGGCTCCGGGCCGGGCCGGGCCCCGCGGGGCTCGGGGCGCTGGGCGGGGACGTGATCTGCCTGCAGGAGACCCGCGTCACGCGTGAGCGGGGTCAGGGGTCACAGGGGCGGAGCCAGGGGAAGGGAGCAGAGCAGGGCTTGGGGTGGGAGGTCCCGTGGGGAAGGGAGTCAAAGGTCACAGGGCATGGCAAGGAGGGTCACAGGGCATGGCCGGGGAAGGGGGTCACAGGGCAGGGGTCAAAGGGCATGGCAAGGAGGGTCACAGGGCATAGCCGGGGAAGGGGGTCACAGGGCATGGCAAGGAGGGTCACAGGGCATGGCCGGGGGAAGGGGGGTCACAGGGCAGGGGTCACAGGGCATGGCAAGGAGGGTCACAGGGCATGGCGGGGGGGGGGAGGGGAGGGGTCAAAGGGCATGGCAAGGAGGGTCACAGGGCATGGCCGGGGAAGGGGGGGGGTCACAGGGCAGGGGTCACAGGGCATGGCAAGGAGGGTCACAGGGCATGGCCGGGGAAGGGGGGGGTCACAGGGCATGGCAAGGAGGGTCACAGGGCATGGCCGGGGAAGGGGGGGGTCACAGGGCAGGGGTCAAAGGGCATGGCCGGGGAAGGGGGGGGTCACAGGGCATGGCAAGGAGGGTCACAGGGCATGGCCGGGGAAGGGGGGGGTCACAGGGCATGGCAAGGAGGGTCACAGGGCATGGCTGGGGAAGGGGGGGGGGTCACAGGGCATGGCAAGGAGGGTCACAGGGCATAGCCGGGGAAGGGGGGTCACAGGGCAGGGGTCAAAGGGCATGGCCAGGGAAGTGCGGGTGGCGGTAGAGCACAAAGGGCAGGGCTAGCGATGGGGGTCAGGGGTCAAAGGGCACCGTGCACAAGGGGCCAGACAGGCCCAACCTGCCCCCAGAGCGATGGGGAGAGGGGGGCAGAGCCCAGCCTGACCCTGTGGTGACCCCGTGTCCCCAGGGGACCTGCTGGAGGAGCCACTGGCCATGGTGGATGGCTACAACTCCTACTTCAGCTTCTGCCGCACCCGGAGCGGCTACTCAGGTAACCGGGGGGGGGGCTTGGGACCCAGGCGTCCTGGCTTCCAGTACCCCCCCCCCCCAATCACTAGACACCCGCCCTCCCAGAGCTGGGACTGGCACCGGACTCCTGGGTTCTCTCTCTCCCCTCTATCAGGTGTGGCGACCTTCTGTAAGGACAGTGCCACCCCGCTGGCAGCGGAGGAGGGGCTCTCTGGGCTCCTGGCCCAGCCTGGGGAGGGCGGTGCCGTGGGGTGTTACGGAGACCTAGGGGCCTTCACACCCCAAGAGCTGAAGGCGCTGGACAGCGAGGGGCGCGCGGTGATCACCCACCACCGCATACGGTGAGGGGCGCGGGGACCCCTGCGGGCCACGGGGTATTGTCCCTGAGGATTGTGGGGTGAGGAGCTGTGCTGGGGCAGGTGCCCACAGAGTGCTGGGTTGGGAGGGGCAGGGGGCCAGGTGAGGGGGGATGGTTGTTGCCAAATGCTGGGGCCAGGGGGGGGCAGATGCCAGCCTGACCCCCTCCCCTCGCACACGTGTTTTCTGCACTCCCCCGCAGCACCTCAGCACAGCAGGAGACCACTCTGACGGTGATCAACGTGTACTGCCCCCGGGCCGACCCCCAGCGCCCCGAGCGCGCCGCCTACCAGGCGTCCTTCTACCGCCTGCTGCAGGGCCGGGCCGAGGCGCTGCTGAGAGACGGGGGGTAGGTACCCTGCCCCCCCCCCAATCCACAACACCTCCCTACCTGGGCCGAGGCGCTGCTGAGAGACGGGGTTCGTATTCCCCTCAATCTCCCCTGACCTCCCCCTCAACCCAAACCCAAGCACCTCTCAAAGCCAGAGGATCCAGGCCACCCGCACATCTCCTGGAGGATCCAGGCCCCTCCCTTCCCCATAGCCCCACCCAGGTCTTGTCTCTCCACCACCACCCTTCAGAGCCCCTCCTGGGACTAGAGACCTCCCCATCCTCTCACTGCCTGGGCTCCTCCCTCCAGACCCCTGACCCCCGGCCCTGTTTTTTGTCTTCCAGCCACGTTGTGATCTTGGGGGACATTAACACATCGCATCGGCCCATCGACCACTGCGAGCCCGGGGACCTGGTTAGTGCCCAGGGGGGGTCCCCCCTCTAATCTGGGGGGGTTGGTGGGGAGCCAGGCCACCTGGGTTCTCTCCCCAGCTCAGGGAGGGGAGTGGGGTGTAGAGGGAGCAGGGAGCCAGGACTCCTGGGTTCTCCAGAATACTGACTCTCCCCTCTCCTTCCCCCAGGAAGCGTTCCAGGAGCACCCAGGCCGGCGCTGGCTGGATGGGTTCCTATGGGTGCCAGACGGGCCCCCCGGGCAGGGGCTCTTCATCGACACCTTCCGCCTCCTGCACCCCAGCCAGCCCTATGCCTTCACCTGTTGGCGCATCGACACTGGCGCCCGGCTCACCAACTACGGCACACGGCTAGACTACGTCCTGGCTGACCGGGCCCTGGCGCTGGCCGAGCTGCGGGACGCCCGCGTCCTGCCCGAGGTGCCCGGCTCCGACCACTGCCCCGTGCTGGCCGAGCTGGCGGCCACCTTCCTGCCGGCGCGCCGCTGCCCCCCGCTCTGCACCCGCCACATGCCTGAATTCGCCGGCACCCAGCAGAAGCTCAGCCGCTTTTTGGTCAGGGTGGAGCGGGGAGCGGGCGCGATGTGTCAGGCGGCTGGGGCGGGGCGGGGGTGCTCTACACAGAGGGGGAGACGCCCACCCAGGGGGCAAGGAGACCTGCTGAGCTACTTCAGAGCCTCACAGGGCCAGCTGAGGACAGGCACGACCCCGAATGCACTGGGGCAGAGCGGACAAGAGCCAGCCCAGGATGCCCCAGGGCACAGGACACAGGAGATGGCCCATGATGCACCAGGGCAGGGTGGACAACGGGAGCCCTGCAATGGCTTGGTGCCCAGGGAGCTGATGATGGGGCAGGCAGCAGGCACCCAGGACAGCTGCACAGCCCGCTGGCGTGCAGTGCTGCCCGGCCCGGCCCCCCCACCCTGCTGCCCGGCCCATGGGCAGCCCTGTGCCCTGCGCACCGTCCGCAAACCCGGCCCCAACCGTGGGCGGCGTTTCTACGTGTGCGCCCAGCCCCCTGGGCGCCCCAGCGACCCCCGCGCCCGCTGCGACTTCTTCCGCTGGGCCAGCAAGGGGCGCTCGTGAGGGGGGGGGTTGTGTGTTTTTTTCCTCCCTCAAATCATTCCTGTAGGAATTCCACACACCACACCACCACCCCGTGCATAGGAACCTGGGAGCCTGGGCATGTACAGAAGGGGAAACTCCGTCTATTTTTATAAATAAAGAAGATGAAAGACACTGGGTTGGTGTCATTGTTTGTGGGGGAAGCCAGGGTTCTCTCCCCAGCTCTTCTGGGGCACTGATGGCTGGGGCCCTTCCCCTGCAAAGGTGCCTGCTTGAATATCAGGGTTTCATCCCAGGCATGGCCTTCTTGGGTTGCCCTTGTTGAACCTTATCCGGGAGGTCATTAGTCCAACTCCCTGCTCAAAGCAGGGCTAATCCCCAATTTTTGCCCCAGATTCCTAAATGGCCCGCTCAAGGATTGAACTCAAAACCACTGAGCTATGCCCCCCCCCCCCCCCAATCCTCTCATGAGTGTCTGCTAGCAATGCCCCTACTTAGTCCAAAATGCCATTGGCCTTCTCAGTTCAGGAACCTCATCAGTATTAGGCTAGTGCAAGCCACTGGACATAGAATATCAGGGTTGGAAGAGACCTCGCAGGAAGGAGACACCTGATGAGGTTCAACAAGGATAAGTGGGAAGAGAAGATGAAGGGGGGGGTTCAGAATCTTCTCTTCCCCTTATCCTTGCTGAAGCTCATCAGGTGTCTTCCAACCCTGATATTCTATGTCCAGTGGCTTGCACTGGACTAAGTAGGGGCATTGCTAGCAGACACTCATGAGAGGATGGGGGGGGCATAGCTCAGTGGTTTGAGCGTTGGCCTGCTAAACCCAGGGTTGTGAGTTCAATCCTTGAGCGGGCCATTTAGGAATCTGGGGCAAAAATTGGGGATTAGCCCTGCTCACCCCCCCCCCCTTCATCTTCTCTTCCCACTTATCCTTGTTGAACCTCATCAGGTGTCTCCTTCCTGCGAGGTCCCTTCCAACCCTGATATTCTATGTCCACTGTCTTCTTCCCTTTTTGACACTCATGAGAGGATTGGGGGGGACGGATAGCTCAGTGATTTGAGCGTTGGCCTGTGTGATGAAGTGGGACTGTTCTTAATGTTTCCTCCGAATATTGTGGGGGTGCTGATCATTGCAGAGCCCTAGAGGGCAGGTGTGGGGTCCCCCCCCTTGCAAGGTCAAGGTGAAAGCTGACTGTGGAGTTGGGGGGCAGGACCCTGCCTGAGCGGACTTGCTGGGGAAGTGCATGGAGGGGCAGAGGATGCTGAATGCTCCCTGACTGGCTTCATGGGGAGCAGATCCGGTGTGCTGAAGGCTCTGTCAATGTGCTGGGACTTGTCTCTTTAACTAGGTCACATCCAGTTAGGGTCTATTGTGTTACCTACTGAGGGTGTGGAAACACTGTAAATTTATCTAGGAAGAGACTATTCGAGCATGAGCTTTACGTGAGCTACAGCTCACTTCTATCAGATGCATACCCTGGAAACTGCAGCAGACTTTATATACACACTTAGTCTGTATTCGATGATGATCACTTTAGATAAGCTATTACCAGCAGGAGAGTGGGGTGGGAGGAGGTATTGTTCCATGGTCTCTGTGTGTATACAAAGTCCTTTTCTTATAACCAAGTGGAAACCTTCCCACATGCGGCCTGCGAGTGCTATCGACCACCCCCAACCTAAGGGAGGGCGTGAAACTGGAAGGACCTGGTGTAACATGGGAACGTTGGTGGCTTCGAACTTCCCCAGGTCACTGGGTATAATGAGCCCTGGAGGGCAGGGGTGTGCAGGGGTCTGGACACAGAGAATGGCCGACACCCTGTCGCCTGGGCTGAAGGGTAGCACCCTCTGGCTTAGCTGAGGTCCCTTCCACCCCTGATATTCTATGATTCTAAAAGAAATCGGAGGAGGTTCAACAAGGACACTCTGAGAATCCCGATGGCGGCCGCTACGCTGCTCACAGGGGGCTGGGAGCCTGGGAGGCAGGAACCAAACAGGAACACCTGCGGACTCAGCCCTCCCAAGGGTGTTCACACTGTCTCTTTAGTCACCGATTTGGACGCTGCAGCGAGAGCCAGGCAGGCCCAGGGCAGAGCTCGGTCCGGTCCGGTCCGGTCCGGTCCGCCCGCGGGCCCAGCCAGACCAGCAGCCCCGGACGCCTGGGTCCCGCAGCCCGGCCCCCCCGGCCGCTCCCCGCAGCCCCTGCTCCGGATGCAGCAGCAGCCGCCGCTCCCCGCGCGGGGGCCGCGCCCGGCTTTATAGCCCGCCGCGCCGCAGACCGGCCAATGGGGCGGCCGGACGAGCCGCGCATGCGCCCTTCTGCCGGGAGGGCGCGGTTCACTAGCGCGGCCGCCAGGTGGCGTCCGAGGGTCTTATCTAGGCCCCCGCCCCGCCCAGCGATTCTGCGGGCTCCCCACCGCCGAGCCTGGGGGCGGGGGGTCCCGGGTCCCCTCTGCCCGGCGGGCGGCCTGGGACTGGCCGGAGCTCGAAATAATGTGCCCAGAACTTCTCCTGCCTCGGGGCTGAAGGGCCCCCGCCCCCCAGGGACGTTTGCACCCTAGGGCTGCGCTGTACATGGGGGGCCCCCCCGTCAGTCTGCCCCCCCCCGTCACAACCCGGGCACCCCCCGTCAGTCTGTCCCCCCCCCGTCACAACCCGGGGCCCCCCGTCAGTCTGTCCCCCCCCCCGTAACAACCCGGGCATCCCCCTCTGTCAGTCTGTCCCCCCCCGTAACAACCCGGGCCCCCCGTCAGTCTGTCCCCCCCCGTCACAACCCGGGCATCCCCCCGTCAGTCTGTCCCCCCCCCCGTCACAACCCGGGCACCCCCTCTGTCAGTCTGCCCCGCCCCGTCACAACCCACCCCCCGTCAGTCCCCCCCCCAACCCGGGCCCCCCCCGTCAGTCTGCCGCCCCCGCCCCGGGAACGTGTCTCCTTGGCCCGAGCAGGGGCGATCAAAGCCGGGCTCTCGGGAACGGACCCTCGGGTTTAGGGCGCCCCGGCCCCTCCAAGCGCCGGGCGGGATTTAGGCGCCAGCTCAGAGAATTCGGGTCTTGAGCCGCCCGGGCAAAACCCAGCGGACGGAGGCGCCAACTCGCTCTTCTTCAGCCGCCTCATTTTAGGACCAGCCCAGCTGCCTCCTTCGTTTTAAAAGCAGCAGAATAAGCGCCTCGGAGAGAGAAGCCGGCTTCGGGCGGCTCGGCTCTGGAAGTCCAGGGGCTCCGGGCTGGGGGGCCCAGGGACAGCTCTGTCTGTCCCCCGTTGGGGGGGGGGTTCCCTGAGAACCCCCCCGAGCATTTCACGGCCACCAGTTTGGGAACCACTGAACCAGGCAAATCTCTAGAGAAGTTGATGGACCCCCAGGGGCCACTGGTCTAACCCACTAGCCCCCCACTCCCCCCCCAGAGCTGGGGAGAGAACCCAGGAGTCCTGGCTGCCAGCCCCTCCCAGAGCCCGGGAGAGAACCCAGGAGTCCTGGCTGCCAGCCCCTCCCCCCCCAACTCCCCTCCCAGAGCCCGGGAGAGAACCCAGGAGTCCCAGCCCCCCACCCCATCTCTGCATCGCCTCACCTTGTGGCAGCCACCAGGGACCACAGCCCCTGCCCTGCTCAGCCCTCCACTCCTCCCGCCCCCCCCCAGGCCTTTAATCCACCCGGCCCCCAAGGGCCTCCCCCCCAAGACTAGGACATAGACCCAGACCTGGAGGGCGGCAGGGGCGTGGGCCCCTCTTGCTTCCCCTCCCCGCGACCGCACAGGCCCCCCCAGTACCCACCCCTTGCTATCCAAGTCCCCCGCGCCCCGTTCACCACCCCCAATACCTGTTCCCCATCCCCCCACACCTGCGGCTCAGGGGTAAGGCCCGGACGCCTGGGTTCTCTGGGAGTGGCGTCTTGTGGGTTGGGGTGCGGGGGGAGCCCGGACGCCTGGGTTCTCACTCACTCGGGGGCGGAGGGGGGCCCAGATGCCGATGGCTCCACCCAGCGCTTGCCCCGGCCTCCAGCAGCGTCCGCCGGCCCGGCCCGGCCCGGCTCGGCTCCCTGGCCAGACGGACTCAGCGGGGGCGGGGAGCGGAACCCAGGCGTCCGGCCGGCGCCCAGCTGCTCCTCCCCCGTCCCTGCCGTGTTGGGGCGACCCTCCCCAATGGGGGGGGGGGGTCAGAGACAGAGAGCAAGGGGGGGCAGGAGCTAATGGGGCGGGGGCTCGGAGGAGGCCCATCAGGACCCACCTGTGGGGCTGGTCATGTGACCAAGTCACCTGATTCCCCCCCAGTGCAATGCGAAAGACCCGGGGGGGCTGCCTTGGCCACCGCTGAGAGTCTAAAGAACAGGAGGGACTTGTGGCACCTTAGAGACGAACCAATTTATTTGAGCGTGAGCTTTCCTGAGCCACAGCTCACTTCATCGGATGCATCCCGTGGAAACTGCAGCAGACTTTATATACACACAGAGACCATGAAACAAAACCTCCTCCCACCCCACTGTCCTGCTGGTAACAGCTTATCTAAAGTGATCAACAGGTGGGCCATTTCCAGCACAAAGCCAGGTTTTCTCACCCCCCCAACACACACACAAATTCACTCTCCTGCTGGTGCTAGCCCATCCAAAGTGACAACTCTTTACATAGTCAAGTCGGGCTATTTCCTGCCTAGATCCAGGTTTTCTCACATCCCCCCCACCCCCATACACACACAAACTCACTCTCCTGCTGCTAATAGCTCATCTAAACTGACCACTCTCCAAGTTTAAATCCAAGTTAAACCAGAACATCTGGGGGGGGGGGGGGGTAGGAAAAAACAAGAGGAAACAGGCTACCTTGCATAATGACTTAGCCACTCCCAGTCTCTATTCAAGCCTAAATTAATAGTATCCAATTTGCAAATGAATTCCAATTCAGCAGTTTCTCGCTGGAGTCTGGATTTGAAGTTTTTTTGTTTTAAGATAGCGACCTTCATGTCTGTGATTGTGTGACCACAAACGGGTTTTAACATCCCCCCCCCCCCCCCCGGGCTATGTCTGCTGGGAGGGCAGAAGGGGGGGGAAGCAAACGTCACCCCCATAAAAGACCCAATGGACTAATTACTGCCATGTCATTTAAACCCTGACTTGTGCCCCCCTCCGTGAGCAGGGAGCCCCCCCACCTGGGGGGGCACAGTCCGCTGGAGGGAGGATCACGGAA